TCATTTTGAACTGAATGGTCACTAGTTGATAGGGGGAGAGTTCACTGGGGCCTGGGGCCTGGACCCCCTGCCCCATATGTCCATTAAGGCCTGTAGTGTATGAATAATAATGAAAGGACTTAGTTAGGTCAGCTGAGACACCTCCCAGCAGACTTTCAAACACTTCACCCATTTTGAACTGAATGGTCACTAGTTGATAGGGGGAGAGTTCACTGGGGCCTGGGGCCTGGGGCCTGGACCCCCTGCCCCATATGTCCATTAAGGCCTGTAGTATATGAATAATAATGAAAGGATTTAGTTAGGTCAGCTGAGACACCTCCCAGCGGACTTTCAAACACTTCACCTGGTCGTCCCCAAAGCCTGGCGCGGCGTACACGCCGAGCTCAAAAGGTTCGCCATCACTGGCCCAGTTGGTCGTCCCCAAAGCGTGTCGCGGCGGCACAGGGCAGTGATTAAGGACACAGGTTGGTGGTGGAGTCAGGCAGACCTGGATTTTGAATATCAGTTCTGACTTATTAGCCGCATGACCTTGAGTAAATTATTTAATCCCTAGAACCTCCATTTCATCATCTTTGGGATACGGACTTCATAGAGCTAATGAGAGATTTAAATGGGATAATGCCCATTACAACCTGTGCAAGCCTCATGTCCTCATCTAAGAAGTGAGAGCTGTAACAGTATCTGGAACAGTGAGTGCTGGCACATAGTGAGTGTACAGTATGAGTTATTAGCAACACGAATATTAGTAGGTATCTACATATTCATGTATGAAGTGCCTGCATGCTCAGAGGAATGGCAGGTAGCATTAGGGAGAAAGCAGCTTCCCCTTTCCCAGGTTGGGAACATTGCATGCCAGGCACAGAGTAGGCCCTCCTTCCCTGGCACTGGTTCTGCTTGGGCTATTTGAATTGGTTTATTGAGGGCTCATTGGGTGTGGACTAGAGTCTGGGAAGACTTCCTGGAGGAGGAGGCTGTTAGAGATGATGAGATGGGTTATTCATGAGGAGCGGTGATGCTGGAAGGACTGGCCAGGATGATGGCAGATGCATCACATCACCTACCTTCATGATTTCCATCTCCCAACCATAGAGATGAGTGTTCCCATTTTATAGATGCTGTAGCAGCTCAGAGAGGTCAGCTCACCAAGGAGTTCTCAAGGTCCCTGAGGAGTCCAAGGCTTGAGGGGCTCCCTGCGAAGGCCCCAGGATGCTCCCCAGCCCAAGGGAAGTCTTGAGCAGCCTCACATTCGGGAAGCTCTAGAAGAGGGTGACCTGTCTCCTGGGAGGAAAAGCAGTGCCTCCCCATCTTTAGGGTGTCGGTCTGGGGTCCTTCAGAGCCTCTCCTGGGCATAGGACTCCCATTGTTCCAGCCCCCCTCTTGTACCCCAGACTGGCCAAACCGGTTCTGGGGAAGGGGGGCGGGGAGCAGGCACGTTGAGACAGCCGCCTGCCCGCCTGCGAGGTTCCCTCCGCCTTCACCTCCCCCCTCCCTGCCCCACACAATACCCAGGAGCTTGCATTGCCTGGGCTTAGGGGCCATGCTGACATCGCCCCCTGAGGACCTGGCTGCAACCCCAGAGCCCCCAGGGTGGCCTGGAGCCCTGGACCGGGCCGGAGGCTGGACCGGAAGGAGCTCCCTGGCTGAGGTAGGGCCCCACCCGGCTGCCAGCAGCCCATCCTTCTCCCGCCAGTCTTCCAGAGGGAGTCCTTTGTGCTGCCCGCCGCACTCACTGTGGCTTTCTGGGGCTCCACAGCCTGCTGGGCCCGGATCCCCTTTCCAGCCATGACCTTCCGCTTGGCTTTGTCCCTTTAGGGGCTGAGGGGCCTTGTTGGGTCCCTACTCCTCTGGGCACCAGGGCAAGGGGCACCAGGGAAGGGGCAGGGAAAAGCTGGGCACAGGAGGCCAGAGGTGCTTTCCCTGGACTATGGTAGTGCCCAGGGACCCTCTCTGCCAGCCTTGCCAAGTGGATCCATTGTCCTGTGATTAGCAGTGCCCACTGGATGGACTCTGGACCCCTGACCCTCCTTCTCATCCTGCGGAGGGGCCTGATTTACAGATGGGGACACTGAGGCCCAGGGCCAGACTTGCCTAGGGCCACACAACTTGTTCATGTCCACACTGGGCCTTGAACGTTGGCAGGGGTTTTCCCCTGTGGGTTCCAGAAGGACTGTGGCTGGCCGAGTGGGCACTAGAGTCTCCTGCGGTCATGTCTTGGGCAGGTAATGTCCCTGCTCCCTTGGCCAGTTCTCTTCTTGAAGCTTTTTTCTTTTCCAGCAGAGATGAGCTACACACACTATAAACACAGCTCTGCCCCTCCTCGGCCCCAACATTGAGGTAGAGTGGGCCACATCCCTGGAAGGTCACAGGGCCAGCAGCTGAGCTAGATGGGTCATTCCTGTTGCCCTTTGGCCTGGACCCTGGCTTCCCCCCCTAGAGACCTGCCTCCAGCCTGTCTCCCCCGAGAAAGCTTTCCACCACCCAGCCTTCTCCCCTGAGGCTTCAGGAGGGGGTGTTCCTGCCCCCAGGGCGCCATGTTTTGCTCATTTATCTCTGCAACTGACAGGGGAGTGGGTGGTTCCTCCCTGCCCTTCAGGAGCTTGCAGAACCCAAGTGGAGAAAGTCTCCCAGAATACAAGGAAGCGGGGGCATGCGTGTGTTCTTCCATGTATGTGTTCTTGCATGCGTGTGTTCTTGCATGCGTGTATTCTTGCATGCCTGTGCCCACAGAAGCAAGTGGGACTTCTGTGTTGAGGGCTTCTGGTTCCTGGAGAGAAAGAGATCTGAGTGGACAGTGGTCCCATGTCTCCTGCCAGATGCTTCTACAAAGTAGAGTATGTCTCACCCTCACTGCCTCAGTTTCCCCATCTGTGTGATAGCCCCTGACTGGAGAAAGACTAATAACACTCAGAAGAATGACTATCAATGATAAAGCTCCTACTATGTTATCCTTAATTCTCATATTAGTGTTTGGTATGACTATCGTAGTTACCAGATGAGAAAACTGAGAAACTTGCTTAGATGGACAGAGGTTTAATATACAAGCTAAAGTGCCTGGCTGGCGTGGCTCAGTGGTTGAAGGTTGACCTATGAACCTATGATCACAGTTGACCTATGATCACAGTTCGATTCCCAGTCAGGGCACATGCCCGGGTTGCAGGCTCCATCCCCAGTAGGAGGTGTGTAGGAGGCAGCCTATCAATGATTCCCTCTTATTGATGTTTCTATCTTTCTCTCCCTCTCCCTGCCTCTCTGAAATCAATCCATCAATCAATAAAAAAGAGTTGAGGTAGGGCCCCAGCCTCTCTGAAATCAATCAATCAATCAATCAATCAATAAAAAAGAGTTGAGGTAGGGCCCCACCTGGCTGCCAGCAGCCCATCCTTCTCCTGCAGAGAGAGTGGGGTCCAGTCACAGATGCAGCTGTCCGCACTGGGTCCTCTCTCCCTTCCTCCCAGGGTCACTGACACTGTCACTGTTTCTCTCAGGCCAAGGCTTTCTCCCTAATCTCTGTGTATTGGTCCCTAGATATTTCAGTCAGAACAGTTAGCGCTTACTTCCTTCAGGAAGCCTTCCTGGAAAGCGCAGGTCAGTCGAGCCCAGCACCCTGCTCTGATGGTCCCTCTGGCTCTGCTTTTGCCAACCTGGATTGTAACTGTTTTCGTTTTTGGCTTCCCTACTGGACTGGCAGCCCCGCAGGGCATGACATGTTCCTCCATCTGTCTCCCTGGGTTTTTCTGGGCTTCACAGTATCCGGTCTGTCTGAAATTGTCAGCGTCACTGTCTCCATCTCTGTGTCCCTGACTGTCTCAGCATTTTGGGTCTCAGTGTCTAAGCTGCCGCTGAAAGGTCTCTGTTTCTCCAGGTCCCTGTCTCCGGGGCCTCCTGGCCCTGCCAGGCTGGGCACTGCCCTTTTGGCCTGAGGGGCCTCTAGGGATGGGGGGGTCTTTGCTACCCCGCCTGCCCGCAGCGAGGCCAGGCTAGGGTAGGCCCCCGCCCAGCCGCTGCCTGCTCCCTCCCTCCCTCCCTACCGCTTGCCTCACCACAGGGTTTGATGAATCAAACTCTTTGTCTGGGTGGGATCTCCCCCAGCCAGCTGGGCAGAGAGAGGGCTTCCCCTGCCGGAGCAGCCGACCATCAGCAGCAGCCTCAGCTGGAGAGGTGAGGGGCGCAGGAGGGCCGCCGGCAGAGGGCCAGGGCTGTGGGGGCTTGGACCCCTGGGTCATTAGGCCTGTCCCGGGGCTCCAGCAGCCTCCCTGGGGTGACTTCCTACGCAGGGAGGACCCGTCCAACCTGGCCTGATCCTGGGGCTGGGAGCCGGGGTGGGGAAGAAACCCTTCTCGCCCCAAGCTGGGGGGCCGGGACACCTCCCTGTCCTGCTCCTGGGAGTGCCCAGCCTGATTTGCCTGGTGGCGCGCCTGCCAGTCTGTGACTCTCCCAGCCAGCTTGGCATGGGTGTGGGCACCACTCAGCACGGAAAGCTGCAACTCTGGGCATGGGAAGGGAGGTTGGGTAACACCAAAGCCAGGACTTCCTAGGCCTGCGTGTTTGTGTCTGCATCCTGGTGTGTGAGTGTGAGTGGAACAGGAGTGGAAGAAAGCTGGAGTGGATATGTGAATAGCGGACGGGTCCCTGTGTGTGAAAATGTGTAGTTGTGTAAAGAAGTGTGTGAATGTGTGAGCCTGTGAATGTGAAAGGTCTGAAGTTGTGTATGCGAGTGTGTGTGTATGTGTGAATGTGTGAGCCTGTGAATGTGAAAGGTCTGAGCGTATCTGTGAAGTTGTGTATGTCAATGTGTGTGTACTTGGGAGAAAATGTGTGTGGATGTACGTGACAGTGTATGTATCTGTGTATCTGCTCATATGTCAGAGTAAGAAAATGCACAACGTGGTTAAAAGCACAGACGCAGAAGCTAGACGGCCTGGGTTTGAATCCCGGGTCCACCATTCACCGAGTACCTCTGCGCCTCGCTTTCCTCACCTATAGGATGGGGATAATAATAGCATCAACTCAGGGTTGTTGTGAGGATTAGATGAGATACAATGTATAAAGCACCTGGCCTGTCATTCATTAAATGCCATGTAAGTATTAGCGATTCCTATATCATTAGGTGTGTGAGCGAGCTGGGACAAATGTGTGTACACATGTCTACATAAGGGTTTGTCCAGGCCTCCAGGACGTGGTGGCTTCCTGGCCAGCCCTGCTGTCCTGTGTCTGGTTCTGATATCTTCTCCCCTCCAGGCCCAGGTGACTGGCAGAGCAAAGGAGGAATGGACTGTGGGCCACCTGCCACCCTCCAGCCCCACCTGGCTGGACCACCTGGTACTGCCTGCCACCCAATAGCTGTGTGCCAGCAGGAGAGTCTTTCCTTTGTGGAGTTGCCCACCCTGCAGCCCCCAAGCTCTGTGTGTCTGGATCTCTTTCCTGTCACCCCAGAGGAGCTGCAGGCTCCTGGCAGCCGCTGGTCCCTGGGGACCCCTGCTCCTCTCCAAGGGCTGCTATGGTCACCGTCCCCAGGAGTCCCAGACACCGAGTTCTCTCCCAGTGGGGGGATGCGGCCCAGCAGGGCTGGCAGCTGGCCACACTGTCCTAGTGCCCAGCCCCCACCTCTGGAGGGACCCTGGAGTCCCCAGCACCCACAGCCTCAGCGCCGGGCCAGCCATGGCTCAGAGAAGAAGTCAGCCTGTGAGTCACTCTGGGTGACGGGGGGTGGGTGGCCCAGGGGGGTGAGTAGGGGAGAGGTTGCATGGCTCTTTAGGACTCTTAAGCCCCAGAGTCCCCCAAAACAGGCAGGACGAGTGGTAGGTTTTCGTGATAGGGACCCGGAGCTCAGAGAGACGGGGAATGCCTTGTCTGCAGTCACAGCAAGTGAGCGGCTGTCCTGGGCTCCCTGGCCCTTTGCCCACCCTTTGCCCACTGCAGTCAGGCACTGTGTTCCCTCTGCCCCTCTTGTTGATTTCATTTCTCGGGGGACCAGCTCTCAGCAAACAGTTGCCCTTTCACTTGGGCATGTTGCCTAGATGCTCAGGGCCACAGGGCCGCAGCAGAGCAGAGGTGGGAGAGAGTCCCCCCGCGGTCGCCAGCCTGTGCTCTCACCCCACCTGCAGGGCGCAAGATGCGGGTGTACCAGAACGAAGAGGCCCCTGGCAGCCCCGAGGCCCACGCTGTCTTCCTGGAGCCTGGCCAGGTGGCAGAGCCGCCTCTGAGCACAGAGGAGCCTCGGCCTCTAGAGCTGGCGGGGCCCACCCGAGGGGGCCTGGAGGGGCCCGAGCGGAGGCGCTTCTCGGCCTCTGAGCTGATGACCCGGCTGCACTCTTCCCTGCGCCTGGGGCGGCACTCAGCAGCCAGAGCCCTGGCCCAAGGGGCAGGCGCTGGAGCAGCCCGGGAAGGTACCTGCTCCTCCCCTTGGCCCTCAGAGCAGCCCGGGAGCCAGATGCCGGGTGGAGCAAGGCTCACGCACTGGACACGCGAGGCTGGGTGCTGGTCAGCTGGAGTGTGGCGCCCCGCTGCCCAGGGTCAGCCACCCTCCGCTCTCGCCTTCTCCAGGGAAAGCGTCTGGCAGGGAGCCGCGCAGCGCAGAGATGAGGGTGGACGGCGCGGCGACGGCAGCCCCTGTGGACCCCAGCGGGAGCCCCAACAGCGGGCCCGCGTCCAGGTAGCACCTCTCCCCCCAGGGTCGGGTCTGAGGCCGGGGCGCACGCGGCGGAGCCCCGACGTTCTCTCTCTCTAGGCTGGAATCGCAGGAAGAGCCGGCTCAGGGTTCCAGAAGCGCCAGCGAGCGACGACAGTCACGGTTCCTCCTTAACTGTACGCAGGAGGGGGCCGTGGAGGAAGGGGCTGCGGGTCCGGGGAAGCCGGGAAGCTGGGGTTCCGAGAGTTGAGACGTAGGGATCGTGTGAGGGGGAGAGAACGGAATCTCAGTCCCCAGCACGGGGGCTAGCACGCAGCTGGTGTTCAAGCAGTGTTTATGGAATGAGTGAGTGAATGAATGAGTGAATGAATGAATGAATTCACTGTCCCGCTGCTTGTTGAGTGAGGTGGGCCCTGGGGGGGCCGGGAGGAGCCGGGCCGCGGCAGGCGGGCGCCCACAGCCCTCCCCGCCCTGTCCCCGCCCAGCTGTCCTCTACCAGGAATACAGCGACGTGGCCAGCGCCCGCGAGCTGCGGCGGCAGCAGCGCGAGGAGGAGGGCCCGGGGGACGAGGCCGAGGGCGCGGAGGAGGGGCCCGGGCCGCCGCGCGCCAACCTCTCCCCCAGCAGCTCCTTCCGCGCGCAGCGCTCGGCGCGAGGCTCCACCTTCTCGCTCTGGCAGGACATCCCCGACGTGCGGGGCAGCGGCGTCCTGGCCACGCTGAGCCTGCGCGACTGCAAACTGCAGGAGGTGCGCGCGGGGCCGCAGAGCTGCCAGTCGTGGGAGGGGGTCCTGAGGCCCAGAGGGGATGGGGCGACTATACGGAGCGGGGCCAGGAGAGCCTGGTCCGGAGGCTTAGCGCGGTTCCGGGCCACAGGGGTCCCGGGCCAGCGGGACTGCAAACTGCAGAGGGCGGGACCGAGGGGACGGGCAATGCCCAGGTGGTTGCTAGCACCTGACCAGGAGTGGCTGGCAGCTAGAGAAGTCGGAGGAACCCCGGAGCCGAAAGCCAGTGGAGAAGCGGGGCGAAGGGGCGGGGTTCACGGGGGCGAGGCCTAGGGTAGGGCAGGGCCAGAGGAGGAGGGATCGCTGAAAGCCTGGACGGGGAAGCTGCGGAGGCAACCCTAGCGAAACCGCGTGGTGGGCGGGAGACCAGGCGGGGCCAAGAAAAGGGGCGGGTCAGAGAGAGGGCGGGGCCATCGGAAGACCCGCAGGGCCCAAAGCCCAGGGCGAGGGGCTCAATGGAGGGCTCCAGTTTGTTTTGAACAATTGTGCTGGGCAGGAGATGGGTCCTGAAGCCCACCAGGCACCAGGTCAGGGGTGGGGCGAGAGAAGGGGTGGGGGACAAGAGGTGGTGTCCAGGGCCAGGAGAAGGCGTCTGGGTGGACCGGTCTGGCGGTTCAACCCCTCATCTGCCTTTGCTCAGGCCAAGTTTGAGCTGATCACGTCCGAGGCCTCATACATCCACAGCCTGTCGGTGGCCGTAGGCCACTTCCTGGGCTCAGCTGAGTTGAGTGAGTGTCTGGGGGCGCAGGACAAGCAGTGGCTGTTCTCCAAACTGCCCGAGGTCAAGAGCACCAGCGAGAGGTAAGGGACTGGCCTGGCCTGGTGGGGGGCGGGGATGAGATTGGTGCGGCTCCTAGGCCTGGGGTCTCACCCTGTCCCTGACCCCTCGCTGACCCCTCAGGTTCCTGCAGGACCTGGAGCAGCGACTGGAGGCAGATGTCCTGCGCTTCAGCGTGTGTGACATTGTGTTGCACCACTGCCCTGCCTTCCGCCGAGTCTACCTGCCCTACGTCACCAACCAGGCCTACCAGGAGCGCACCTACCAGCGCCTGCTGTAGGCCTGGGGCCTGGGAAAGGGGGGAGGACAGAGAGGTTCTCGGTGGGAGTAGGCATGGAGGACTGGGTGAGGAAGGGAGACCTGCGAGGGAGGGGGTCCCTGTAAAGGGCTCTGTGACCCGAGTGCAGGAAGGATGTGCTGAGAAAGCACCTGAAGAACCACGGGGGTGGCTGGGTCATGGATCCCAGGAGTTCAGACCCAACTGTGACCCCAGACACCTCCCCAACTTCCAGCCTGGAGAACCCCAAGTTCCCTGGCATCCTGGCTCGCCTAGAGGAGTCTCCCGTGTGCCAACGCCTGCCCCTCACCTCCTTCCTCATCCTGCCGTTCCAGAGGATCACCCGCCTCAAGATGCTGGTGGAGGTACCTGCAGGGCACAGGCTGCAGTGAGGGCTGGGCCAAGGAGATGCCACTGTGAACCTCCACAGCCCCTTCTGGGCGGGCACCCATGGGCGGGCAGGGGCATGGGGGGAGGCCATGGCCTGCCGCATTGAACCGACCCCACCCTCCAGAACATTCTGAAGCGGACAGCACAGGGCTCTGAAGACGAAGACATGGCCACCAAAGCCTTCAATGCGCTCAAGGAGGTGAGCTGGGCAGGGCAGGGGCCTTCTGGCTCCCAAGGGCCTCCCCAGAGCCCCGGTGTGTCTGTACAGGCCCCCAGGTGGGCGTCCGAGGCTGGGCTCTGGGAGCCGGGGTCGTGGGGCTGCAGGTGACTCCCCCACGGCCTCCCCAGCTGGTGCAGGAATGCAACGCCAGTGTGCAGTCCATGAAGAGGACGGAGGAGCTCATCCACCTGAGCAAGAAGATCCACTTTGAGGGCAAGGTGCATGCCCACCGCGGGCGGGTGGGCACACCAAGGGCAGCTCTTGTTCCCTCCTTCCCTGGGGGCTGCAGGCCAATTCCTCGCTGCTCCCGCCCACCCCGCCCTGGCCGGTGCTCTCTGCCCTGCTGCCCCGGGTCTGACGTGTTCTCCCTCTTTGCCTTCTCCTTCCGCCCAGATCTTCCCACTGATCTCCCAGGCGCGCTGGCTGGTGCGGCACGGGGAGCTGGTGGAGCTGGCCCCGCTGCCCGCGGCGCCCCCGGCCAAGCTGAAGCTGTCCAGCAAGGCGGTCTACCTGCACCTCTTCAATGACTGCTTGCTTCTCTCCCGACGGAAGGAGTGAGTCGGGGCCCGGTGCGGGGGGAGGTAGATTGGAGCTGGGCTCCCTCTGCCCCACTAATGGGCCCACAGCCAGTCCATCCCTGGGCCTGGGAGCCCCAGCCTGCACCGGACAGTGTTGCCAGGGCACCCTGAGCCTGGGAGGCTCCAGCAGGAAAGGCAAGTTCATCTTCTAAAATCAAGGGCTGGACTATGTACAGAGGATTTGAAGCTGCTCTGAGCTTAAGCCAATCAGAGCACAGCCCTGGAGTCCCAGCTCTGCCCCGAGTCATAGTGAGGACAGCCAGCATTCACCGTGCGCCTGTTCTGTGCCAGGCATGCTATATGGATTACTCCCTGTTGCCCTCTAGATATTTCCCTGGTAAGTAGGCTCCCTTGTTATTGTCAGTATCTTGGAGCTGATAGTCAGGGGTCAGGAGGAGCCCCAGTCTGTCTGATGCTAGACCCCACTAGACAGAGCCGAGGTCTCATCAGAGTTGCTGCCCAGTTGGCTCTTAGAACGGGCTCAGGGCAGAGGCTCAGAGAGAAGTTGACAACATGCCTGGGGTCAGAGGCTGGTCTCACCTTCCACCTGCCAGTGATCTGGTAGGAACGGAGTTCCCAATTCCTCGTGCGGACTTTGCTGGCTGCCAGGGAGGTGGTGCCCTGCTCTGTCGAGTTTCCTGGGGGAGGGTGCTAGAGGGGCAGCCGACCCCTTCTCCCTTGAATCAGAACTTGGCTGGTCCTGAGGGTGGGGCCTGGGAGCCTGGGCACGGGCCAGGCTGACCTCGCCTCCCCCGGCCCTGCAGGCTGGGCAAGTTTGCCGTTTTTGTCCACGCCAAGATGGCCGAGCTGCAGGTGAAGGACCTGAGCCTGAAGCCCCAGGGCATCCCTGGCCACGTGTTCCTCCTTCAGCTCCTGCACGGGCAGCACACGAAGCACCAGTTCCTGCTGAGGGCCCGCACCGAGTGAGTGGGCCTGGGGCTGGGGAGAGAGGACCCGCCCCAGGCAGGTACTGGCCTTTTCTCTCTGGCTTCAGGACAGTCGCATGAGGCAGGACTTGGGCAGAGCTGGCACCCCAGGGAGGGGGGGAGGAGGGCCTGGGCCTGCTCTGTTCTTAGGCACAGAGCTGAGTAGGGCACAGGGCTGTGGGAACAGGGCTGTGAGGTGAGTCCTCGGGTGGGCATCATACGTGACCTGGGTGGGTCTAGATAGATCATACCCCGTTTCCCAGCTGTTTCACCACCCTGGCCCTGGGAAAATGCAGTTTGCATGTTGTGATCACTTGGCCTTGTTTTCTAGAAGTGAGAAGCAGCGATGGATCTCTGCCATGTGCCCCTCCAGCCCCCAGGAAGACAAGGAGGTCATCAGCGAGGGGGAAGGTAGCAGCTGCCACCCTCCTCCCTCGAAGGCCCACATCCCCTGGGCTGGGTACCTTGTTTTCCCCCTTCCCTCCAATCCTGGGTGCCAGGTGGCCAGCGGGGCTACAGGGAGAGAGATCAGCTGCTCGGGGGAGTCAGGGGTGGCTCTGCAGAACCTGGAAGGATGGGCAGAATTCACATAGGACAGGCCGACCCCCGCGTGCACAGACAGCACCCTGGAGGTGACAAAGCCTTTTATACCCTCCCATTTCATCCCCATAGAAGCCCATTTTACAGGTTAGAAAACAGAGATTCAGAGAGGTAAGGGGACTTGTCCGAGTTCACCCAACTAGTAAGTGGCAGGGCTGAGATTCAAGTCAGGCATGTGTGGTTTTCCCAATACAACCAGCCCATCTAGTGTCATAGGAAGAGCTGAGGGCCTGGACCGGTACAGCTTCTCTGGCTTGAGCTAGGAATCCTGCTCAGGTTGGTGGGTGAGCTTCCCATTCTAAAGAGGTGCTCAGGGAAGGCCCCTGAAAGATGAGGAGGGGCAGGAGGAGATGAAAAGATCTGGGGGAGAGCACTCCTGGGAGGAGGGACAGCCAGTGCAAAGGCCCTGAGGCAGGTGGGAGCTCGAGCGTTTGGGAACAGCAGGGTGAGCAGTGTGGCTGAGCTTCATGAGCGAGGGGGAGTGGGAAAGAAGAGGGGAGGAGAGGTGGTTAGCAAGGGGGCCATGCCAGACCACACAGGGCTTTGTAGGCTGTGGGGAGGACTTTGGATTTTATTCTAAGAGGAGCAGGAAGCCCTGGAGGGTTATAAACCGGGGAGCGATGTGGCTTGAATCCCAGTTGAGGAGGATGGTCTGGAGGGAGCACCAGGGAGCATTAGGGGGCAACCGAAGGGGCCATTACTGCTTTGTGGGGGGTTTCTGGTGGGCAGTTGGACATTGCCCTGGAGGTCAGGAGCAAGGTGTTGAGCTGGGGAGGAGAGAGCCCTGGGTGCAGCAACAGTAACGTAAGCTGGGAGGGACAGGACTCATGGGGCTTGTGTTTAGGGTAAGAGAGAAGAGCAGCCAGGGTGGGCTAGGGAGGGGTAGAGGAAAAGAAGCAGCAGCGGCCACCCTCCCGCCCCCTTACTTCCTCCTCTGCCCCTCCCTGCCCACCCCATCAGGCCCTGGGGACTCCCTCAGTCTCTCTTGGGCTGTCAGACCGCCCCCAGGTTCAGTGTGTCCGGACATACAAGGCCCTGCAGCCGGACGAGCTGACCTTGGAGAAGACTGACATCCTGGCAGTGAGGACCCGGACCAGTGATGGTGAGAGGGGCCTCCTGGGAGGGCCTCCCGATGGCGCTCTCATGAGCAGGAGGTAGCTAGATGGCTACGACATCACAGGGAAAGGTTATGCAAGTGTTGATCAGCCACAGCATGCAGGAATGAAGTTAGACAACAGGAGGAACTTCCTACTTGTAAAGATGTAGGATTGAGAGTGACTGGCGGGGGAGAGTGGGAAACACCCTTCTTTGAGGATGTCAGGAAAAACAGGTCAGAGGTTCCTCTATGAGACTGCCAGAGGCAGGGTCCTTCCTGGGGCTGGGAGACGCTGAGATGGTGTCAGACAAGGCTTGCAACAGGGCCTAGGCGTCCCCTCGCAGACCGGCCCTGGTGTCCCTCGGATGCCACTGATGCTGCTCCTGGCCTGTGTGCCCCCAGGCTGGCTGGAGGGCGTCCGCCTGGCAGACGGCGAGAAGGGGTGGGTGCCCCAGGCCTACGTGGAAGAGATCAGCAGCCTCAGTGCCCGCCTCCGAAACCTCCGGGAGAATAAGCGGATCACAAGTGCCACCAGCAAACTGGGGGAGCCCCCTGCGTGATGGGCAGCCGTGGCTGGGACCCCAGCTCCGTGCCCGCTCCGGGACAGGTCCGGGGGGGACCTGCAGTGTCTCCATTCCCCAAGCCTCTGCTGCTGGGACTTCTGCTCTGTGGCCCGGCATCGAGAGGACAGCTGTTCCCTTGCTTCTCGGTGTCCACTCTTCAGGGCCGGGGGCGGTTCCCTCCGCTGGCATGGGGGCCGCAACAGGGGCCTCTGATATCTGGCAAGGATTGGGGCCCTCTGTCTTCCGTGTCCTTGACCCTGCGTGACTCTTGGTCCCTTCACCAGGGGCCTGGCAGGGAAAGGCTCCGGTACTAATGGGCCCTGCAGCCTGTGTATCTGGGGTCTTCTGGCCAGAGCCTGTGTGGGTCCTGGTTGTGACTTGTCTGTAAATAAACTCCCATCATGCCTTTGCTTGGAGTCTGTGAGCCATCTGATGCCCCATTTCCCCAGCTAAAGATCAGGAAGGTCTCGGGCTGCCTCCCCTTGGGGAATTCCCCTTTGGTAGAGTTCCCCTCTTAACCAGAGGAGGGTGAGATAGACTGCTTTGGGCTGCTGTTAGCAAAAGAGCAGATTCAAATAGGCTTAAATAGTAAAGAGAATGTATTCGTTCTTGCACTTGTTTCTTACAGTTTCTGTAACAAACTCCTGCGAAGTAGGTGATGTAAAGCAACAGAAATTTGTTCTCTCACAGTGCCGGAGGCCAGAAGTCTGAAATTGGCATCACTGGGCCAAAGTCCAGGTGTCTGGAGTGGACATATGCTCTGGGGAGAAGGGTTCCTGGCCTAGTTCAGCTTCTGGTGGCTGCCAGCATTCCTAGGCTGGCTGTTGTATCACTCCAGCTTCTGCCTCTATGGTCACATTGCCTTCTCTGTGTGTCTATGTCAAATATTTCTCTGCCTCCCTCTTATAAGGATACATGTGATTGCATTTGGGGCCCGCCCGGATTCTTAATTCTTAACTTAAATCCTTCTTATATTTCTTAAGTCCCATCTACAATGACCCACACCTTTTTTTTTCTTTTTGTCATATGAAATGACATTCATAGGTTCTAGGCATTAGAATGTGGATGTATTTTGGGAGACCGTTTCTCCGTCTACCATGGTTCTCATATCTGAGAAGTGTAGAGTCAAGGTGTACTTCAGGCAAGGCTCGATCCAGTGGCTCATTGTTCTAACTGAGGACTCAACTCTACATTTCTCTACTCTGCTATTCTTGTTGTCAACTTTATCCTAAGGCTCCCAGGGGTTTCTTCTTTTTTTGAAAAAAAAATATTTTTATTGATTTCAGAGAGGAAGGGAGAGGGAGAGAGAGATAGAAACATCAATGATGAGAGAGAATCATTGATTGGCTGCCTTCTGCACATCCCCCACTGAAGATTTAGCCTGCAGCCTGGGCATGTACCTTGACTGGGACTCGAACTATGATCTCCTGGTTCATAGGTCGACGCTCAACCACTGAGCCACACTGGCCAGGCTCTGAGGGGCTTCTTCATTCACATCCAACATGGAAGAAGAGAATTGTCTTTGCCCCTCCTCCCCTTTCTCGAAGACCTCTCTGATTGGACGAGCTTGGATTACATGGCTACCTCTGGGCTGATCACGGAAGTCAGGGGGTGGTGTGTGCTGATGGACCTAAGCCTAGGCCATGTGCTCTATATCCCTGGAGCCAGATTAGGGAATTGTCTGCCCTGAAATTGAATGGATCCGCAAGAGGAATCAGTGGCTGTTGCAAAGGAAGGGTAAATGCTGGGGAGGCCAATTCATCGGAATCCAGTCGCCCAAGAGAGTGGAGGGACCAGGGAACAGAGAGCACTTGGGGGGATGGGAGCACCTTTCAGCCCTCTAAAGGAGGTGGCGGAGCAAAGAAAACTCGAGTTGGGGGGGTCCGAGAGGGCAAACATGGGCAAATGGGGAGAAGCTCACGCCCATGAAGAAACCTTTGGGGGTTCCTTTCTAACCTGAGGTGGTTCAGGAGGGTGGAGTGTGTGGGCTAAGGAGGTGGGCACACCTGAATTTCAATTCTGATTCAGATGTTTATTCCCCATGTGATTTTTAAAAAATAAAGCTTTTAGTTACAGAAAAGTTGCAAAGATTGTACAGAGAGTTCCATACACCCCTCCGTGTTTTCCCTGCTGTCAACATCTTCCATTACCATGGAACAGTTGTCAAAACTAAGAAACCAACATCGGTACATGACTATTAACTGAACTCCAAACTGTATTCGGATTTCACCAGTTTTTTCCACGAACGTCCTTTTTCTGTTCCAGGACCCAATTCAGGAACCCACACTGCATTTAGTCTCGCCTGGTCTGTGACAGCTTCTCAGTCTTCCCTTGTTTTCCATGAGCTTGCCAATTTTGAGGAGTTCTGGTCAGTATTTTGTTAGATTGTCCCTCCGTTTGGGTTTATCTGATGTTTTTCTCGTGACTAGACAGGAGTTATGGGTTTGGGGCGAGAATACCACAGAGGCCCAGTGCCTTTCTCATCACATGATCTCAGGGGGCATGTGACTTCTTACTGGTGATGTTAACCTTGATTACATGGTTAAGCTGGTGTCTGCCATTTCTCATCACATGATCTCAGGGGGCATGTGACTTCTGACTGGTGATGTTAACCTTGATTACATGGTGAAGCTGGTGTCTGCCACGTTTTTGTTAATCCTCACCCGAGGATATTTTCCCATTGACTTTTAGGGAGAGTGGAAGAGAGAGGGAAAGACAGAGAGAAACATCGATGTGAGAGAAGCACATTGATTGGTTGCCTCCTGCAGGAGCCCCGACCAGGACCAGGGCCTGGGCCAGGGAGGAGCCTGCAACCAAGGTACATGCCCTCGACTCGAATCGAACCCAGAACCCTTTGGTCCGCAGGCTGATGCTCTATCCACTGAGCCAAACCGGCAAGGGCTGCCAGGCTTTGTTCCTTGGAGGCAAGTGGAGCCCCCGCTGAAGTGTGTGTGAGGTGGGGTGGGGGGCTGGCTCCGCCTTCTGGAGGATGGATCTACGTATATTATTTGGAATTCTCTTGAAAGAACGATTTGTCCCCCGCCCCCATGTATTCAACCAATCATTTATTTCTATCAGCGTGGACCCATGAATTTATCTATCTTATCGTTGGGTTATAATTCCACACTAAGGTATTGACTTCGTTGTGTAAACTGTTCCAGTGTTGGCCGTTGGGCGCTCTTTCCGATGAGCTCCTGTGTCTGTGTGACATCCTCCCATCCTTTTGCTTGTTGAGCATTTCCTTACTTCCTGGCACTAGAAGATGCTCCAAGCCCATCTTGTAGTCTCCCTGCCTCCGGGGTGGAATCGGCCGGTTTTTATCTATCTTATCGTTGGGTTATAATTCCACACTAAGGTATTGACTTCGTTGTGTAAACTGTTCCAGTGTTGGCCGTTGGGCGCTCTTTCCGATGAGCTCCTGTGTCTGTGTGACATCCTCCCATCCTTTTGCTTGTTGAGCATTTCCTTACTTCCTGGCACTATAAGATGCTCCAAGCTCATGTTGTAGTCTCCCTGCCTCCGGGGTGGAATCGGCCGTTTCTCTAAGGTGTGTGGTTCCTTTGATTGGTGGGCAGGCATTAGGAAGGTTGAGAACCACTGGTCTAAGGTGTGTGGTTCCGTCGATTGGTGGGCGGTGTTTAGGAACCAAGATCTGGTTGCTGGGCGTGCTCATTGCTATGGAGGTGTCATGGCTTCTTGCTCTCCTACTGGACAGAGGTAGGACATACCTATCTGTGTGCGTGATTTTAAGCAAGACAATGGCTCTGCTCCTCAGTTACCGTTTCTGCACGATGGGCATGGTGGTAACTGCACTACTTCATGGAGCAACTGTGAAGTAAACGGTGTAAGGGTGACATAGTGCCTGGCCCATAAGAAGTTGCCCAAAATGGTGGCTTTTACTGTGTCAGGGCTGCATGGCCATAGTATGGGGGCCCTTGTGAGGCGGTGAGGCCTCTGTCTCTTGAGAGTTGAAGTCCAAGAACAGGATCCCTGTACTGAGCGAAGACCAAGGGGCCTCTGCTTGTCCAGCACTGAGTCTGCACGGGGAAGAGCCGAGGTCGGTCAAGCAGAGGAAACAAGCCCCCCTGCCTTCCACCTGCCCTGGCGGATCTGGATTCTGGCCGACACCTGCATCTGGACTAGATCCCTGGGGGCTGGGCTGGGGGGCGCTGACTCTGAGGCCATGCTGTCATTCAGGGAGAGCAGGGCTGCCTGAGGTACACCAGGCCCTCTCCCCTCATTCCTCATCTGCCCGGAGGCAGATGCAAGCGAGGCATGTTAGGAGAGCCCCTCTCTCGGCGGGACCTGCCCCTGCCCAGCAGGCCCTGCCCTGCTATTTGGCCTTGGCCGAGGACCCAGGTCCCTGTCTTTGCTTGTTGCAGGAGGAGGGGGGGTGGTACTTGGGCAGGACAGGCGGTGGGCGGGCATGCCTGCGGTAGGGGTTTTGCCCCCCGAGGCTGTCTGTTCAGCCAGTTTCCAAACCATGTAACTTCAGGAACCCATCTCAATGGCTTCCTGCAGCCCCACCCCACCCAGTGCCACCCCCCTCCGCGCAGTGTCACAGGATCCTGCTGGTCCCCAAACTCTGAGCCTATTGTTCACATTTTCTCCTGAAAGGAAACTTTTTTAAAAAATCTTATTCAATTGTTCATTTCTGGGGCACCTGAGGCTTCAGGGTGAGCCAGGAGCCCGGCAGGCCCTGCCTCTGGGGCTGCCAGCGTGGAGATAGTCATTCGCTTGCTTCTTAGTGGATTCCCAGCACAGGGACTCTCAGACCGTCCCGAGCATTGGCGGGATGTGGGGTGGCAGGCTCTCTCCTGAACTGTTGGCAGGGTGTGAACTGGCACCACTGCTTTGGAAACAGCTTGGCTGCACCTGCCAAAGCCGAGTAGATGCCTACGCTCTGACCGGGCAATTCCTATCCTTTCCTCATACACCCAACAGAAGCATGTCCACATGGGCCCCCAAAGACACAGACTGGAATGTTCTTAGCGGCATAACGCCTTCATTGCCAAAACACTGGAAACTACCCGAACGCTCATTGATGATCAAATGGATAAATTGTGGGAAGCCTATGCAGCAATGAGAAGAAACCATCTGTATCTGCGCGTGAGGACTGGGACAAATCTAGACAGAATGGGGGAGAAGCCAGACACGACCGCGGGCTTCTTAGATGATTGTGTTTAGTAAAGTACGAAAACAGGCAAAACAAACTGATGGCTAGAGGTCAGGACGGCAGGAGCAGTAACTAGTGGGGGAGGCGTCTGACCATGCTGTCTACGCAGGCTGTTCATTTTGGGACAACCCATTGAGCTGCACACGTGAGGTCTGTACTTTTATGCCTGTGAGTTAAACTTTGACAGAAACTTTAGTTAGTATCCTAGTGGGAGAAATCCTGGCGCTGTGGGT